CGCAGGGGTCAATTTTGTGAAATGTGAAAATTGGGGGGGATAAGAATGTAAAAAATGAAATTATACCTTGAACAGTACCTGACAGTAGACTGACAGCAAAGTCAACAGCGGGTGTTACAGATAGCTAGCGTGTACCGCGCCTGCCGCTAGTGCGTACGTCCGTCATGGCAAGCAGCGGTGCCGATTGATGTACGGGCGAACGATTGTTTCATGTCTATGGCGCGAAGCGATGCCGTGTGGGCGCCTGGGAGGGGAGAACGAAAGTACAACGAAAACCGGTAGCTCGATCCCTCGTCCTATCGTTTCATCCTATGAGGGGTTGATAATTATTAAGGATGCGGACTCCTATTTCTATCCCTGGTATAGTGTACAGTATTTTGTAGTATTTTATGACATGGCACTGTGTGATATGTGTTTATTGACAAATGCTGGATGTACAGGAAATACCAGAAATCAAGTAAGTCATGTTTAGAAAAAAATTGGTTGAAAGGCATGAAAATCTAGACTTACTTCAAGCCGTCTTCGTCCACGCCGTGATCTTGGACGTTGCGGTAGCAGGTGATTCACATGCTCTGATTGGACTGCGCATGCGGATTTTGCGATTTTAAAATTTGGTGCGGGTTTCCGATGAGAGCACGTCAATTACAAGGTGACGCTCCGTGCGGGTCCCGGCGGCTCCGTGCGGGTTTCCGATGAATGCCGATGTTTCTTCGGGCACATAACTTTTTAGAAAATTGCCTCAAAAAGTTACTTTACGATGGAAAAATCGCGTTCTAACGTAGCGGAATGTATTCGCGACGCCCAGAAGGGGCCCCAGCTCGATTCGCGTGAGCACACGCGGCACGGTTTCGGAGGAGATACGGAAAACGACACTTCGGCTCTTTCTACTATTATATAGTAGATATGTGTGTGTATATGTATATATTTTTGCGTTTGCGCGTGTCTATCTATTTTGGCATCTGTGTCTGTATCGCTATCAGTGCCTGCTGAGTGGCTCACTATGTATACTGAGCTAAAGTCCTCCAATACTGTGCGCGTGCGTGCGTGCGTGCGTGCGTGCGTGCGTGTGTGTGTGTGTGTGAATGCACGTATTTGTGTTTATAATATTATGGTGAAGAGAAAAATAATGATGGTGAAAATGGGAATTGGAAAATGGTAGTGAAAATAGGATTCATTTCACTGGATTAGGCCAAGTAGTTATTTTGGTCTCAAAGTACTTACGATAAGTGTCACTATTTTAGTGGTTTCGGGGATTATGACAAATTTTTGGCTCGACATGTGCATCAAAACGTTTCTGTTGCTGGCAGGCAACAATTATTGTTAGATTTTCTTACAACTCTCTCGGCGTTTGATCACACAGATGGTTGGAGAACCACTCGCTCTCGCGTGCCAGGAATTCCCCAATGTTTAAACAGCAATTAGGCGAATTGCGTTTCATTCACCTGTGCGCCTCACTGCGGCACTCGGGTGTGATTGATGTAACGTCAGCGCACACTCCCCCCATCCACTCAGTGTGTTTATGAGGGGGAGGGATTCTAGTGTACCCACTACACGTTCTAGCACTGTGCATG